ATGCCGCCACGTAGAGAGCCCGATCATCAGGGTCCTACTCAGGTTACGGTAGTCGCTCAGTTCCGCGACTATCATGCAGAAAAGTTTTCAGGACAAGGCGACCCCCGTATCGTTGATGAATGGATTCAGGGGTTAGAGTTCATCTTTGAGGTTATGGAATGCCCCGATAGGTATCGCGTAGTTTTCGCTCAGCTTCAGCTCACTGGCGATGCGAGGCTCTGGTGGAATGCCTACTGGAGCATGCGTCCCGGTGAAAAGGCGGGTTGTACATGGGACATGTTCAAGAAACTAGTCCGCGACAAGTACTACACTTCTTACTATCGGGCAGAGATGGAGCGCCAGTTCTTAGCGCTTCAGCAGGGTACTCGTATAGTCGACGAGTACGAGCGAGAGTTCACCAGGCTTGCAGGTTTTGCACCGGATCTTGTTCGTACGGAGGCCCAGAGAGCGCAGCGGTTCATTGACGGACTTTTCCCAGCAGTCCGTCACAACATCGTGGGACACGGGACTCAGACGTATGCACGAGCAGTCTCTATCGCCCAGGAGGTGGATGCTAGTATCAGGAGGGAGGCCGTTCGTGATCGTGCTCAGCCATCTTCCCCAGCTCAGCCAGTTGCAGTTCCACCAGCTCTACCAGCTCCTCAGCCAGCAAAGGAGAAGAAGAGGAAGGCAAAAGGTGCATAGACTGACCGGAGGACCCGACAGAGACAGATTCCACCGTGCCCAACTTGTGGTCGACTTCACAGGGGAGAGTGTCGTGCTGGACAGGACATCTGTTACTTTTGCCAGGAGCCGGGACATTTCGCGAGTCGTTGCCCGAAGAAGCTTCAGCAGCAGCCTCAGCAGCCCCCACAACAGCAGCAGCCACGACAGCAGGCACAGAGACCACCTCAGCAGCAGCAGCAGCAGAGGGGCAGGCAGCAGGCCAGGGTCTACGCGGTCGATCAGGCGGAGGCAGCACAGCAACCAGGTACTATGTCCGGGATGGTTGTTCTCAATGATATTCCTGTGTTCGCTTTATTCGATACTGGAGCGACGCATACCTTTATTTCACGACGGTGTCTCGACGCCATCGGAGTTCATGCAGTTACCGCTGTCGATCCTCTCGAGGTGAGTTTAGCCTCGGGACGAAAGATAGTGACCTCAGCTAAAGCCTCAGATCTTAGTCTTTCTATCAGTGGTCGAGTATAGACTGCCGACGCGTTTGTTCTCGAGATGAAGGATTTCGATCTTATTCTCGGGATGGATTGGCTTTCTTTCTATCATGCTGACATCAGATGTCATGACCGGGAGATCACCCTCTATCTTCCGGGAGACGAGTCGATTACTTTCTTCGGCTCCAAAAACCGTTCATTGCCTCAGTTTGTTTTGATGGCGAAAGCCACTAAATTATTGCGACGAGGCAACTGCCAGGGTTATCTGGTAAGCCTTGTTGAGGATTCTCAGAAAGCGCGGACACCTCATGATGTTCCGATCGTTCGCGAGTTCGTAGACGTAATCCCAGACGAGCTTCCAGGAGGACCGCCCAACCGTCAGGTGGAGTTTTCTATTGATCTCATCCCAGTGGCCGGTCCAGTATCTAAAGCCCCATATCGCATGGCGCCTAAAGAGTTACAGGAGCTTAAGACCCAGATTCAGGAACTGTTACGACTCGGTTTCATCCGACGGAGCGTGTTACCGTGGGGAGCACCCGTTTTCTTTTTTAAGAAGAAGGACGGATCTATGCGTATGTGTATCGACTACCGGGATCTCAACCGGTTGACTATCAAGAATAAGTATCCGCTTCCCAGGATCGACGACTTATTTGATCAGTTGAGGGGAGCCTGTGTATTTTCGAGGATCGATTTGCGATCAGGCTACCATCAGCTGAAGATTAAGGAGTCAGACATCGCTAAGACCGCTTTCAGGACTCGTTACGGCCATTACGAGTTTGTAGTCATGCCTTTCGGTCTCAGCAATGCGACAGCAGTATTCATGGATCTCATGAACCGTATCTTTCATCCATACCTCGATCAGTTCGTTATTGTCTTTATTGACGATATCCTTATCTACTTGAAGAGTCAGAAGGAGCATGAGGAGCATCTGAGGGTGGTTCTCGAAACCCTCAGACGAGAGAAGTTGTATGCCAAATTCTCCAAATGCGAGTTCTGGCTTCAGCGAGTATCTTTTCTGGGTCATGTTATTACCCAGGCAGGCATCGAGGTGGATCCTTCTAAAGTTTCAGCTGTGCAGAACTGGTCGACACCGAGGAATCCGTCTGAGGTTCGCAGTTTTCTCGGATTAGCTGGTTACTACCGCAGGTTTATCGAGGGTTTCTCTAAGATTGCCCTCCCCCTATCCCAGCTGACGAGGAAGTCTGTGAAGTTCGAATGGACTGACAGATGTGAGGCGAGCTTTCAGGAGCTCAAGAGGAGACTGACTACCGCACCGGTGTTGACTATCCCCGATCCTTCTCGGAGTTTCACTATCTTCAGCGATGCTTCGAGGCAGGGCCTGGGATGTGTCCTTATGCAGGACGGACAGGTCGTTGCGTATGCTTCACGACAGCTTAAGCCTCATGAGCAGAACTATCCTACGCACGACTTAGAGTTAGCCGCAGTCGTTCACGCCCTGAAGATTTGGCGTCATTATCTTTACGGCGGACGTTGCGAGATATTCACCGACCATAAGAGCCTACAGTACATCTTTGCGCAGAAGGAGCTTAATATGAGGCAGCGCCGTTGGCTCGAATTGGTCAAGGATTTTGATTGTTCTATCCATTACCATCCGGGAAAGGCGAACGTCGTTGCAGATGCCCTAAGCCGAAAGGTGACGGGAGACTTGACGTACGTCATTACACAGCAGAGTCCATTGATTCAGGAGTTTGCCCGGATGCAGCTTCAGGCGATTGACGCACTTCCCATAGCTGTTTCGGGGAGTACCAGTGCCAGTGTCAGTGCTATGCAGCTTCAGCCGACACTGAGGGAGAGGATCCGGCG